TTATTTTATTTTATTTTATTTTATTTTCAATTCGTGTTTGGAGCCAAATTGATGTCTGAGTATGGTTTGAATAAAAATAAATTGAATTCGAGGTTTTTGTTAAGCTAAACATCGCTTCTTAATTGGCAGGCATTTTCACAAAAGCTTCAAATAGAGACGTGCAGAAATGTTTCATAACTTTCAATAGCTTTTGCAAGTTTGCCTGAATCAAATTTGTGGAGAGCGGAAATGAAGGAAAAAAAGTGTTTATAGCTTATATCTTTTCAATTGTTTGTTTATTTAAATATCTAGTGATTCACATTTTCCATGAAAACCGTTTTCTTCACCAGCTTGAGTTAAGTTTGCATCAACTGCATCAACATCAAGCTGAGAGATCTTTAGTTAAGAAGTCGGTGTCTCACTGGCAAAGGCTGCTAAAAATTCAACTAATAATTTCAATTTCGAACTTAAAATCTTAAATTTGGTTACCAAAACATGTATAACGTTACAAATCTTACTACGACCAAGGGCGCCAGGACAGACGGATTGGGTTTTAAAAATATGTGTGATTGTTTCAGTTATTCGTAGATTTCTAATTGAATTGATATATGTTTGTTTCTAAATGGATACTAAATAGTGTTCASTTATCTTTCCATCCAACGGTCTTTCTGGTTTGAATCAGCCGTACGATATGAATATATTTACCACGTCCATCAACGGTCTTTCTGGTTTGAATCAGCTGTACGTACGCTCTGAGTATTTACCGCTGCACTATCCATGCCAAGCAGCGCCGGCGCCKCTTCGTTAGCGATTACTCACCTCTAATAAGTTAATCAAATTTACTGTACTGAAGGTAAATTTCTTCCTTGAACCAGGCAGTCAAAGCCACTGACTTTGTTTCTCAACGCTCTTATTATTTTTGTTGTTTGGAAGAATCCATCTCTTCAGGTAGAGCGGTTGATAGTCCTGRCTTATTTAGCCTTGACTGACTTCTTAGTTGGACTGATTTGTCAACTTTCGTTCATCGCAAAGGATATTTTTCAGTTGAAAAACGCAGCATCAAATTGTGATTTGGGATCTGCGTTCTTTCTTGGTAAGGCTCTGTCGGTAGGCGCGTTTTTTATCAACTCGTAGTTGTCACATATGAGAGATATGTGGCCGTTATCCATCCATTCCAATACCCAACACGAGTCACAGTCAAGAGACTCACCTATGTAACCATAGGACTTTGGACTCTAAATGTTTTTTTAGTGCTTCTGTATTTTGTGTGTCTAACATTGAAAAAAAAAAATTCCCATCGATAAGTTTAATGTGGTGCTAAAATGCATAATGATAATTTGTATAGTTTACTGGTACATTCGAATCTTTGTCGCTATAGGAAGGCAAAGTTATCCGCTTCAAGTAGGTCAACAGCAGCAAACGGCCAGCGTGAATAATGCACACGCCCAGCGAAACCACAAAGGAGCCATAACTGCTGCTCTTCTTCTTGGCTGTTTTATACTTTCTTTTATTCCAATGCTTATTGTGGTATTGTTAATCCAGGTTTTTGAGTTGAGTCTAAAAAAAGATCCTTCCCTGTTTTGGTTACTGCCATGGGCTGAAACATTCGTACTTCTAAATTCATTTGTTAACCCATTCATTTATGGGTTGCGTACAAGAGAACTGAGGGGGAAATGCCTGCACGTTTTTGGCTTTCAAAATAACGATTCTAATTCACCTCAAAATCCAATTGCTTTACAACCATATCAATAAATCGTCGACGTGAAAATCGACTGATAAAAACTAGCTTTGCTTTGCGCATAATTAATATATGAAAATTTATAACATTCTTGTTATTCTAAGGCCATGGCTAAATGAGAAAACATGCTTCCGGAATCATTTTTTTCTTTTGGGAATTTTTCAAAAGCAGCAAAACTGCCGGGAAACATCGGGAAACATGTTTACTCAACATCGGCTAGCGCATGCGACCTTTCTTGTTCACTACCGTCACCTCTTACGCCATCTTGTTTTAACAAAATAGAGCAAGCGTTGCTAACTAACTAACTAACATTTAGAATGTTGACTTTCGTGGCTAAAAGAGGAAACATTAGGAAACATTGTTTCCATGCGTCTTTGAAGCATGAAACGTTTCTGCCGCACAGCAGAAATATTTTTGCGTCTTGGAAGCAAAATTTGTTGCACGCAGCAATGTTTCGCATTTGGCTAAACTGCTAAACATTGGGGAAACATACGCGCTAGCGCTGTAAACATGTTTCCTCGTTTAGGCAGGACCTATACCTTATTGTATCAGTTTCATGTTTTATTACAACAAATACAATAAAAAAAATTTAAAAAAACAAACTTAAAAACAAAAGTGTTATGTCGTTAAAGGCATACATTCATTCTTCAAGGAAGAAATTTTTGCTGTCTATAGCATAATATTCAGTAAGAAATTATTTTTTYTTAATGTCATTTTTTTAAAAGATGAATAGTTGGCTTCATTCTATGGTAATTCTTATAAAGCAATAGGTGGCCGTATGTTGACGAAATTTGTTTTGAATTATTTTTATTCTCTATATGTTTCCTATTAAACAGAAATTTACTACACAATCCAACRAGAGAAAGTGACAAAACCTCACTATTAAAATGGTTGGCATATTAACATCACAATGACTATGTTTATAAACATCATGTCCACCTATTGTAAATGAAGTAGGACCGATGTCACATAATGTTTTGGAGATTGGTTTTCCAATTTTTGGTGCGAACGCACCCCCTGCACCCCCACTAGCTTCGGGCCTGAGCTGAGCAGAATAGTTCATGTAAGCAATAACAAGGTTAGCTGCAGTTTTAAAATAGCTTTTTTTTTTCTAGAAATGAATAAAGGAAATAAAGGAATAAAGTTAATTCTATCAACTTTCAGTGTTCAACCAATATCAGTTGGCCATTATCAATCCATACCAAGAGAAAATGAACTAGTTCATATTCTCTTGTCCATACCAATACTCAACACGAATCCAGGGCATTAGCCACCATTTGTTCAATTTTTGTATTCAGTTAGTTGTGGAATAACGGCTATTTTAAGAGGGGGTAATTGATTATGTCCCATTAAACCGCAGCAACCGTACTAACAGCCGTGAATCACAGTCAAGAGACACTTGAATGCGCGCAACCATGGGACTTTGGATCGTGAACACTGTTATATGTTTGCCTTTCTTTTTCTTTCAATATATAATATATTTTCACTAAATATATTCTCAAATGTTGATTTTATCTATAAGCATTACCTTTAGGTTTGATACTTCTGACTGTATTACTACTGTTATGTTTGAATCTTCGCTGTCATAAGAAAAAGGCAGTCTATTAGATAACTACATTTAGCTACTGCTTTAGGCCTAAATAGCCTTTGCCCCATCAAATGGAGGCAGCAATGTTAGAACGCAGGAACAATACAATACATTCATATTCTGCGAAGCTTGTGTCCTTCTACGAGTAAAATGATGTATGAGCATATTTTACTCTCAAGTAAAATAAAATCCCTTTGCTCTCGGGAATTGAATCCTTTCTCATGAAAAACGATTGTATTGTTCCTGCGTTCTAACATTGCTGCCTCCATTTGATGGGGCAGTATTCCTAAAAGATTCCTGAATTTTTAAGAAACAAAATGCTGTGTGCAGGCATTAAATATTTTTCTGAAACAACTACTTTACACCGAGGTAATCTAAACATTGTTTCCTACATGTAGCGTTACAAAAATGAGGGAAGTCCCCTAAATCAGAAATTAATTAAGGGATTTTTGACAATATTTCCTACAACTCGGCATGATGATACTTTTTGATGAGTTTCATCTTTGAATATGTTTATCCTTCATGTAAAGGCATTATTGATGCAAACGAATAGTTGCTCCATCTAATTCAGTGCCGAGAAGATATTTATTTAAACCGAGAAGACCCGATTATCATTAACAAAAATCAAAGTAATCAAAGTCACTTAGGTTATCGCATGTAGTACATGCGGTCTAAGAGGCAGTCCAGCTGAAACAGTATTCAAAAACTYGTTGCTCATCACTTTAAGTTCCCAGTAGCTCAATGGTGGAATTTTCTTTTAGAGCGATACTAGGGTGAATAAGAGCAACTGACCTGTAACAGGAGGACTCAGACCGTCTTATACCGAGAAAATTAGGTTGGAAAAAATTCTAAGCTACGAACATCACCACAGAGAAAACAAAAGAGTAACAAAATGGCTGTAAGAAGTTCAGACCTATTTGTAATCTCAATGTATGTAATTCACAAAAATGAAGGATTTTTCCAATAAAAGAAATTTCTGACAACATTTCCTAGAACCAAGCTTAATTGCAAATTTTGAGAAAACTGCTTTACAAGCAAATAAAGTGATTAATGGAGTGTGAAAATCATTTCATTTTTGTTGATGTCATCTAAACTTAAGATAAGCTAGACTATAGTTGATATTAATGACTAGACCCTTTAAAAATATACTATGTTTCTACTTCTAGTGGCGATATATTTTTGATGGATTTTGTTTCGGTCAATATCTTTATCTGTGGCCCCTATGTAAAAGGTATTATCCCTGTAAATGAAGAGAAATGCATCAAATTCATTGCCGTGAAGATATGTATTCAAGCAGAAAACCAAAATATCGTTGACGAAAAACAAAGCGAAGAAATTTCAAAGTCAAGAATTTCCGCTCAAGGCATCGTACATCGACATCCTAATTGACTAGCCTAAAACACGAATCTAGACCTTATTTTTTTAAATTTGACTTTCCCCGTTAAAACATAGTCAACGTAAAACACAGTAGTATAGGCAAATACCTTTTTTTTCTTTTCTTTTAGTCACTAATTATACAACTTCACTAATTATACAACTTCGTTTCATGGGCCAAATAAAATCACTCTGTGAGCTCCAAGTAGCTCAGTGGTTAAGAATACCTGGASGTCTGGGATAAGAAAAACAAATCTAGGCCTGAAGCGAGCAAGGAACCCCCCTCCCTTCCTCCCCTGGGCAAGGAACAGAACGACTCAAACGTAATGTATATTGATCACAGAACGACTCAATCGTAATGTATATTGATCACAAAAATAAGGGAATTTCCCACTAAAGAAGCTTCTGGCAAAATTTCCTACAATTCAGCATATATTAAGGGATTGGAAAATGCTAAGCAAGCAAATGACTATTACAAGATCATACCAATTTGCAGCAATCATAATGTATATATTGGTCACAAAAATAAGGGAATTTCCCACTAAAGAAGCTTCTTGCAAAATTTTCTAGAATTCAGCACATATTAGGGAATTGAAAAATGCCAAGCAAGCAAATAAAGTGATTATTGAAGTTTGAGAATTCATTCGATGTCATCAACTTAAGGTGAGCATAATCTTTTAAATAGTATATTCTATGTTTCTTATTCTCGTGATACTTTTTTGATGAATTTTATTTCGGTAACAGTTTTGCCCTTCATGTTAAGGTGTCATTAATGTAATCCATTAATGAAAATTCAGAATGTAAACGAAGAGTAGCTCAATTGTTATTAATTTATCAAATAAATTATCAAATTATCAATTAATTTAATATTAATACAAGTAATAACAAAAATTAGTTGACAAAAATCAAAGCAACAACAATAACAACAACAGCAATAAAAACCTGCAAAGTTGATACGTGTTGGTAAAGACGTTTCGAAGGCTAGATTTGATGAATGTGATTTTCACTTACAAAGAGACTTCATAATAAATACTAAAGTGATATACTATTTCTTATATACGAGCTACGAAAGCTAAGGCTGAAATCATGAAGCAAAACACATTGGTACAAACAAGTTCAGGTCTATTTCTCATTTAATTTTAAAACTATAAGCGGAGTCCAATCAAAAGAGAGCCGAATAACCTGAAGCGATGGAGGGTGATGCAAATCAAGTGGCTGCGTTCGTGGATCTTCCGAAAAAGTTTCAGATAATAATCTAGCACATAGTCCTTTTTGGTCCAGTCGCGTTGGTTTGAGCTGGTCGACGGCAACGTTTTTTTAAATTGACTATATGTTTAACAGTAAAGGTCTTTGGACCGATCTCTGAGGAATGCCTCTAGATACGGTGGACCAATCCGATGTGATGTCACGGATTTTGGCTCTTGAATTGTTGATCGCACTCAATAGTATAATTAGTGAGTAAATTTAGCTGCACGTATGATGAATTATAGGTTTAGAAAGTAATAGATTATGAGGAAAGGGAATCGAAGACCTTAGAAGGATATAATCCAAAGAAATGAAAAGCTGAACTAAATATTTGATAAGTTAGCCAATTTGAGTGTAGTGCTAAAAATTAAAAAGGAGTGAACATTTGACCATTTGACACTTAGAATGGGGTTTTGCATCGCCTGCACCAAGTGGATCGACTGTGAGGGTGATGTTAAATAAAGCCAAACTGCAACTGGTGCAAAATTACGCGGCAAGGATAGTCCTTGGCCTCAGGAAATATGATCACATATCCAAAGGGATTAAGTCTCTTAAGTGGCTTAATATAGAAGATAAGTTATTTTTCAATGATTGTGTAATGGTACATAAATGCCTTCACAATCAAACA